CCAGCAATTGCACTCCTGGGTATTTGCCCCACAGACACAGATGTAGTGAAAAGAAGGGCCATATGCACCCCAATGTTCATAGCAGCAATGTCCTGCAATAGTCAAGCTATGGAAAGAGCCGAGATGCCCTTCAACAGATGAATGGATAAAGAAGATGTGGTCCATATATACAATAGAATATTACTATCTAGTTGTTCTATTCACTGTTCATATTTGAGTTTGAAACCTCCTTCTAGTATTCCTGATGTATCTGTTTCTCCTTTCAAATCAGTCACTTTTTGCTTTTTGTTTTTTTTTTTAAGATTTTTATTTATTTTCTGATAGAGACAGACAGCCAAGAGGGAACACAAGCAGGGGGAGTGGGAGAGGGAGAAGCAGGCTTCCCGCCAAGTAGGGAGCCTGATGCGGGGCTTGATCTCAGGACCCCGGGACGGTGACCCGAGCCAAAGGCAGACGCTTAATGACTGAGCCACCTAGGCGCCCCTTGCTTTTTGTTTTTTTGGCAGCTCTATTGTTAGGTGCATATATGCTTATAGTTGTTATATCCTCCTAGTGCAATGATCCCATTTTCTCTAGTGACATTTTTTTGGTTTGTTTTAAGATCTATTTTGTCTGGTATTAGTATAGCCACTCCAGCATTCTTATGGCTGTTGTTTGCATGACATATTTTTTCCCATGCTTTCATTTTTTCAGGCTATTTGCATCTTTGAATCTAAAGTGTGTTAGTAAGCCGGTTTCAGTTGGCGTTTCACTGAAATTATTTGGCATAAATTGTCACTTCTAACAGTGATAATGTTTTCTCTAATATATTGATGAGTTAATGTTTATTTAATGCTTATAATCTCATATTGTTATTCTGGATAATGTGATGATGTTTTTGGAATATTAATCAGGTATAGTCTCCCCTTTTCAGGAAGTTTAACTATAAGATAAAGGATTTATTATCTCATTTATTCCTACTGGTCTGAGAAGTAGAGCAGATAAAATATGAGTTTATTCATTTTATAGTGAGAAAATGTGTCTATAATCTTAAATTTGAACTTGTCTCTCAGTTTTAACACATAAATAATCTTAAATCCCAATGACAAATTTAATTTTAAATTTACTGATTCAAGCCACTACAAGTTTTTTCCAATCATAATAGGTAGAAAACAGCCAGAGGTTTCCAGTTTTAATTGCTTTATCTTCTGTGAAATTGAGTTAAAAGCAGAGAAAAAGTTTAGTATTATATATTCTCATTTACTTTCTTTTAACATTATTTAGCACTCTCATAAGATGATTGATACAGTTCATTATGGATTGCAGGAAAGAAAAAACTAGCTTCTGAAAATGATTGAATAACAGCTGGAATTAATGAATAAGGGAGTGATTGAATGAATGTATCAACCGGATGAAATGTAGGCCTAAAAAGTATTCTGTGTGATGAAAGGATTAACAGAATTCAAGGTAGTGCAAAATAGGACCTCTATGATATAACAATGACTGATGATAATGTTAATGATAATGTTAGCTAATTTTTATAGGGTAGTTATTGTTTGCCAGGCACTGTTCTAATATCTTTACGTATAGGTCAAAGATTGGATTGTCAGATCAGACTGACATGAATTGAAAATGTTAATCAGTATTAAGCTTTACTTTTAATTTTAAGGATACGAGGTACCAAAAGGCACAGGAAAAGCAGAAAGTGTTCCTGGACATTGAGAGAGACCCCCAGATTCTTTTTTTTCACAATAGACAAAACTCTCAATCCCAGAGCAGTAGATATGATCTCTAATGAAGTACATGGGTTACCTCATACAATAGGGAACATTATAGGCTGTGAAACATTTCATTTTATACTCTAATAATTGCATAGGTGATGTCCCATCCCTTATAAACCTATAGATTCTAGGTTTGTTTTTGATAGTAATTCTAAAACAAGGGTATTCTGCTAAAAGCCTTCTATGGATAAGTACTTTTTTTTTTTTAAGCCAATACCATTAGTATATTTGTCAGTAATTAGCATGCTTATAAGGAGAATAGACTAGGTCTTCTGCCTTCTTTTTCCTGGGAGAGCCTCCTACCCAACAAGAAAAAAAAAAGTTCTCTTTCCTTTCCAGTAGATTTACTCATTTAAATTCAAATTCAATTATTTATTTTTTAGGATAAACAAGGTAAATACATTAAGAAGAAACTTCAGATGTGTGTTTTTTTTTTTTAAGATTTTATTTATTTGACACAGAGAGAGAGAGAGAGTGAGAGAGAGAGAGAGAGAGAGCATAAGCAGGGGGAGTGGCAGGCAGAGGGAGAAGGAGGCTCCCCACTGATCAGGAAGCCCAATGTGGGGCTCGATCCCAGGATCCTGGGATCATGACCCAAGCGGAAGGCAGACGCTTAACTGACTGAGTCACCCAGGCGCCCCTAGACGTGTTTAAAAATATTTGATTTGATTTGATTTGGTTTAGTTTGGTTGGTAGGAGATGGAGTGAAAAATACAGTAAATATAAATATATTCTTACCACCAGCAGATAATCACCATAGCACCTTGTATTCCTTTTGTGTGTGTGCATGCACATGTCATAAACAATTCTTTCTTCTGTTTGATCTTAGAATATTTGAGAAATCATGTGATGGTTTCAATTTTCAATTCTCTCTGTTTTTCTCACCCAACCCAGGATGGAGATCCAGTTCGTCCAGGAGTGGCCATGACTGATCTCGCTACTGGCCTGTATGCATATGGAGCCATTATGGCTGGACTGATACAAAGATATAAAACGGGGAAAGGACTGTTCATTGATTGTAACCTGCTGTCATCTCAGGTACCAATCCAAAGAACTTTTGAGATTGTGGTGTAAAGACATGTATCTGGCTTATACTGTCTCATATCAAATCCTATGGTCACATGTGCAAAAATAAAAAACAAACAAACAGAAAAAACCCACAGACAACAACAGCAAAAGCTGTTCTATTTTGGTGTACTTAATTATTGTTAAGTTAAAATAAACAGACCATGAAGATTTTGTTGTATGTAGACATTGCTGTTGAGTTAGAATTTTAAAGACTATTTATATTAAAATGGTTCTATTACTACTTGTGAGACAGGAGTACATTTGGTTCTATTTTATTGTCACATGAGCTCTGTAACTTCTTTTGACCAGGGTTTCTTCACCTTTTTTGTACTGTGGATCCTTTGAATAGTCTGGTGAAGGCTATGGACCTTTTCTCAGAATTATGTTTTTAGATGCATAAAATGATATATTTAGGATTGCATGGGAAGCAAGTTATATTAAAATACAGTTAATTCAATGTAAAAACCAATTTTGTGTTGTAATAAAATATGATTTTTTACTGACACATTAAACCATAAGATCTATTATTGGGCTTAGTAACTATTGCAATTTTGAGGTAATGTCGAACATAAATGATGTTTTAAGATACCTGCAATAACTAGAATACGATATGAAAATATGGATAATATTTATTGGTGATCAAGCCATAGGTACTACTAATATTCCTATGGTTTGTTGCCTACATTCATAATTGAAGAAAATGCTAAATTTTAGTTAGAAGTTGGATGGACATAAAGATATAATTTTTTTCTGTTCAAGTTAATTAGTTCCCAGAATTCTTTCCACGGACTCTAGGTTAAGAACCCCTGGTTTGGATAGTTATCAGTTATGTCATGCTAAATACCGGTGGAATTAAAAGGTTAACTAACTCTAAAATTGACATTTTGCCTCCTTTTTATTGGAGCAGACCCAGATGCCTATTCAGAATAGATAATTCTTCAGGAAGAGAAAAAAAGAAAATACCAAATTTGTGCAAGGAGATACTTTACTATGGGAAAAATTACTTTATAGATGGAGACCTCAGTTAGGAATTTCAGATTTAAATGGCATACATGGGAGACTAGTAAACTTGGAAAACTGCTTTGGAGATTTGTTCTCATAGATAAAATTAAGGAGTTGTCTAGAGGTAAAAAAAAAATCAAAATGGCTAAAGGTAAAATACTACATATGGAGTTTCAACATTAGCTTTGAGTCACAGTGAGCATTTTAGTGGTTATATAAAAGGGTAAAATAATTCTCTCCAAATGAATGAACTGTCTTCTAAATAGAGAAACACAGATGTTAGTTAGGAGAAGAAGCTGAAAGCCTTTTCTTCCCTCCTCTAATTTTATAGCTGTAAGGAACCTGAGGTAGGGTAAGTGACTGGCTACAAGTTACACATTCTATAAGGATGGAAGCCAGGATGATTTCAGGGGGTTTGACCTGTGCAATCACAGACGGTTCTAAGCTTAGTTTAAATGCTCTGTTATCACTGCCTTGGATTCTTAATTATTTTTGAATGAGAGGCCCTACATTTTTTTCACTTTGCACCAGTACTTGCAAATTATGTGGCCAGTCCTGGATTTGGGACTCTATTTAAGTCTCCTGATCTTTACCTAGTCTGCTTTACTTATATGTCAATGATTAATTAGCTTTGGAAGAAATTCTCTTGTAGCATTGGTAGAATTTAATTCTCTTCCGGCACCTAACACAATGATTCATGATGTGGAGGTGTGTGGTTCCCTGGGGATGAGAGTGGAGGGGGGTGGTATCACTGGTGGGGCTGTTCCAAAGTGCGGGTACAGGAAATACAAACGCGTGCATGCTCACACACATGCTCTCTAGTCACTTTGGGTATGTGTCTGTGTTTGTTGTTCATGTTGTCCCCTGAGCCTGTAAGTCCCATGAATGCAGGAATGTTTGTTCCTGCTTACAGTGGTATCCTCAAAATGCAGCCTAGTATTTGTCAAATAGTGGGCTCTCCCAATCTTTTGAGATCAATAGGACACCCACTGTTAGCGATGTGTATGTCTCATGGCCCTTAGGTTTGCTAGGAAAGGTTAGAAAAAGGTAGAAAACCATGGAGTTAGGATAAGCACTTGATAAACAACTAATGAGATGATTTGCTTTTAGCAAACCTGGTAGCAGTGATTTAGCCTATTTGCTGTAGCTAATCTGGTTAAAGTTTGCTAAGGGTATTAGTGTGATTAAGACTCATTAGCTACCTTTTTTTTTAATTGAGGTAGAACTGACATAAAACATTATATTAGTTTCAGATGGATAACATAATGATTTGATATTTGTATATATTGCAAAATGATCACCATAATAAGTTTGGTTAACATCCATCATGATACATAGTTGTGATCTGCTTTTCCCATGAGGAGAACTTTTACAATCTACTCTCTTAGCAGCTTTCAAATATGCAATACAGTATTATTCACTATAGTCACCATGCTGTCTGTTATATCCCTGTGACTTATTTATTTTATAACTGGAAATTTGTACCATTTGACACCCTTCACCTATTTTACCAACCCTTTGCCTCTTGCAACCACCAATCTGTTTTCTCTATCTATGAGCTCAGTTTTTTTTTTTAAGTAAAAAAAAATTCCTCCTAGATTCCACATATAAGCAAGATTGTACTGTATCTCTCTTTCTCTGCCTGGCTTATTTTACTTAGCATAATGTCCTCAGGGTCCATCCATGTTGTTACAGATGGCAGGATTTCCTCCTTTTTTTGATGGCTGAATAACATTCCATTGTGTGTATATATGTACAACATTTTTTAAATCCATTCATCCATTGATGAACACTTAGATTGTTTCCATATCTTGGCTATTGTCATTACCTTTTAACAATAAAAATCAGTTAAGTCTTATTTTAGAGCTATGGATTTTCAGATCTACTATTTTATATGATCTCCATAATAATCACTTGAGGTAGGTAGGGCAGGAGTTTTTAAAAAGATTTTATTTATTTATTTATTTGAGAGCAAGCACAAGAGCTGGAGTGGGGTTAAGGGCAGAGGGGGAAGGAGGGGGAAAGAATCCCAAGCAGACTCCACGCTGAGTGCAAGTCTGGGCTCTATCTCACAACCCCAAGATCATGACCTGAGCTGAAACCAAGAGTTCAGTGCTCAACTGGCACCCAGGCGGATAGGGCAGGAATTTTTATTCCTATTTTACTTACAAAGAAACTGAAGCTGGGAAATGTTGATCTGCTTGACCAACAGAGTCACAGCCTGAATTCTAGTTTCTGATATCCTGACTGGTTCTCTTTTCCCTACGTGATAAAGACAAAAGCTTTGGCACTGAGGGACAGGCAAGATCCAGCTTTCCTGTGGTGAAGCTCCAGGGGAGAAGGCAAATTTAGTAAGAGGCAGAGGAAGCAAAAGACCCCTCAGTAACAAGGGAACACAGAACAGGACTGGCCCCTCCTGCCCCCACGTTGCATGCCAAGAGTCAGAATAAGACAGTGCGACATAGTGGGCCCCTCTGAAGCATTATCTAATCATGTTCAGATCCAGTGAGTGAAAACTATCATGGAATTTAACCTGATGGACAAGTGTTTCTGTTGAAATACGAGAATTTTGAGAAAGAGAACATTTGGAGTGGGTTTTTCATGAACTCTGGTCAACTGAGGACTCACTGTGTCCCAGGCGCTGTGGTAGCTCGGTTGGAGTGAGAGGTGACACATCTGTTCAAGGCTTAGTACTAGAGGTGGTGTCATACAGGAGAGCTGGAGGTGATGCATGTAGTTCTCTGTAGCGTAGGGTTGTAGAACACAGTTGGGCCAAGAGTATTAAGGGCCTCGTATGTCATGCTTAGGAATCTGGATTTTAACCGCTTAAGGTCTCTGTTTCTTTATCTAGCAATTCTGTTGGTGATGGTCTTTTCAACCAAAGACACTGTCTCCTTAGATACATGCTATTGTTCCCACAAGCAGAATAGCCTCTGAGCTATGAATAGTGCTAGAGCTTCAAAGGTCAGTGGTACAGATAATAGTTTATGTTGAAGCCAGTCTGAAGTGCAGCGCAGTGGGTGATAAGATTTTCTTTTTTTTAAAGATTTTATTTATTTGAGAGAGAGAGAGAGAGAGATCACGAGTGGGGGGGAGGGTAGAGGGAGAAGCAGGCTTTCCACGGAGCAGGGAGCCCGATGTGGGGCTCTATTCCAGGACCCTGGGATCATGACCTGAGCCGAAGGCAGACGCTTCACTGACAGAGCCACCCAGGCACTTAATAACACCATTTTCATTCTCTTCACCCACTGCCGCCCAACCTCTGTTCATCTCTTTTTGCCTCTACCCTATTTCTTGACTCTGTGTTACTTCTTTTCTTCTCATCTCATATGTGCTTTTTGAGCCTTGGGCATCTCTTTTCTCTGTTTGTCTTTTTCCCACTTGTCTTTCTTTACTTTTCACTCCTATCCTGCACTGTCTGCCTTTTCCAAGTCCGTTTTTCTCCATCTTTTATTATGTGGAGCTATTGTTGAAGCAGTTCTGGTACCAGGTCTTACATCTTTATACTGTACCATGAAGGAAACTTACAGAATCTTTTAGCAGTTTCCATGGAAGAAAAAGGAAGAACTTTTTCGTAGAAGCCCCAGAAAACAAGATCATATATTTCACTGGGTTAAGTGACCATTCCTGAACCAATTAATGAGGACTAAAAAATATGTTTTTTTGGTTTAAGCTGTTCTATGTACTAGGGATGGGGTTAACTCCACCTAAACCATATGACTGTACCTGGGGAGATGTGATTCCTCCAAAGAATGGTGTGGTTATTTTTTGGCCAGAGGCAGGGGAAATCGATGCTGGGGGGCCAATCAACATTATACTAACAATACTGGGTTGTTTTGAGAATCTAATGCACTAAAGGATGTGAAAAATTCTTTGTAAATTGGAAAGTTTCTGATGACTAGCATTAATATTATTATATTACTGAAAAAAATATTTTGCAGTGTTAGAAGTGTGCTGAGATTAAAAAG